GCTACTCTTTTACCAACGAATAGTGGGATTGACCGTCATATTATAACGCCCCCACGGCTGAAAGAGCGAGCATGTTTGGTGTGACGGGGATTCGAACCCGCGACCCTCAGATTGCGAGTCGAGCGCCGGGTCTAAGGCCAAATAAATCTGTTACTTCATGCTAATAGTTCTAGCAGTGTTGTATTTCTCACATTTATCCAAAATCTAAAAATTTGGGATGGTTGAAAAGATACAAGTGTTAGCTAGTTCAGTATAAGGATACAAGACACATTGTGACCCAGGAGGTTAGAATAATGTTTTCATCTTTTCTTTTAATGCAAATACACGCATAATCTTACACTTTTTACTAATAATTTTCTTAGTGAAACCTAAAATCTATGTAAGTCATACTTGTTTTCTACTGTTTGTTGGCTTAACGGCAATGTTCGGTGTTGTGTTTGCAGGTGTAGTTCTGTCTTGGGCAGTGCTTGGTCAAGGTGGACATCACCACGTGAACTGCCGGAATAACGAGTACATCAAAGCCAAGATGGCGAAGTTGGGATTTCACAATGACTTAAACACCGAGGAGTCGATTCGTAAAGCTACACCTGTCAAGTACTTCAAAAATACATTGATGGTGTTCAAAAGGAATGAACCACTAAATGACGAGAATTGTGTTAGAAGAGCAAACATATAAAATATCATTGCAATTACATTAAAGTATATCTTTCTTACTGCATTAAAATCCGTTTTTGGAGCAGTTTCCATTTTTATTGTGCTGTGTTGTTGTTGGTTTTGAGTATCTATTTATCACTTTTCTTGATTATGTAAACATTCACATGATGTTGTCGTTTTTTTTTTCTCTCAAAGCTTTTATTTTTATGATAATTACTATTTTCCTTTCTATTTTTTTCATAACTAGGTTTTAAAGTACTAATTTGATCAATTAGTATAGCATTAGTGAATTTCTTAACTGCCCTATTTATAATATTAGGGTTAAAACCTCTTTCGACTACTGTATATTTAATTAATAACAGTTCGTTTTTCAAATCCTTTTGGTTAGTACATATCTTCAAAGCTCTGTTAACATAACTATAAAACGCAGACATTTTTTGTGACTTAGTATGACATGATTCCTGGTGTGGGTGCATAAGAACAGAAAAAGGTTTCCGGTAAACTGATATTTCTAAATTACCTTGTACATTCC